AGAGGTGATCTTTTTTCTTTTATACTGTATATAATTTTATATTTTATATTTAGTTCACAATTTAGATCACTTTTCCTGGAGACCTGACAACGACACCCTCACAAAAGAAGGCGTGTTGAGGATGACCTGATCACGAGATTTTAGTTTGACGACTTTCACACCAATTTAAATAACTCACTTTTTTTTTTGCGGGTATTAGCAACCTGGGACTTGGTCACAATTTTCGTGATGCCCTATGGCAGCAGGCTCTACCATTAGATTTTTTTTTTTTTTTTTTTTTATATAACGGGGATTAGCCCACCCGGGCACAGGTCACTGACCCACATCGGGGCCTGGGGGGGCGAAAATGTAATAATAATAATAATAATAATAATAATAATAATGAATTACAAAAATAAAACAAAATATAAAGTGAGAAACAATATATGTATGTTGTGTTGTCAATAGTAAGAGAGACAATTGAGACCCTGCAATTTTGTGTAAATGAGGCAGAAAGTCAGATCAGCAACCTGGGACTTGGTCAAAATTTTTGTGATGCCATATGGCAGCAGGGTCTACCATTAGACAATACATTATGCTTCCAATATCTTCCCCAGACAGTAGTACCTCCCTGTTTGGTAGCTGCCTACTACCTACTTAATGCACAAAGGCAGAACATACCATACAGAAAGGTCAGATAAAATAATAATGACCACAAATAGATAAATAATTATTTAAAGAATATTATTGGCCAAAGGAAGGCTATTGGTTGGAGAATAAATCATGAAGTTTACCTCTGAGATTTTTATAAGGTATTGGCCAGTGGGGTTAAGACCGAGATAAGAAAAGCAAAGAGGCGAAGTTAAACCCCAAGGGATTCTTTCAAATGTATCAAACTAAAATGCGAGACAATATTGAACCAATACCGACAAGCTAAGTGATATTGACAGAGAAATGAGCAATAATCTGAACAGGTATTTTTAACAGTTTTTACCACCGAAAATTTGAACGTGATACTCGAGGCACCGACTATATACAGGTGCTCCCCGACTGACGACGGGGTTAGGAACCCAAATCCAGGTCGTAAGTCCAACATAAAAAAAGAATTAATAAAAATCTACAATGAAATACAGTACAGTAAAAGTAATAAATAATGAGGAATGGATACAGTGTGACTGAGCACTTACCTTTAATGTAGTCAGCTGAATGCAGGTCGTAAGTCCAACATAAAAAAAAAATAATCAAACAAACAAAAAATTAATAAAAATCTACAATGAAATACAGTACAGTAAAAGTAATAAATAATGAGGAATGGATGCAGTGTGACTGAGCACTTACCTTTAATGTAGTCAGCTGAATGCACATCGGGCCCCCATAATTTTCTAATTATACATGGAGATTACATTAACTGGAAACGTTTCGGTATAGAAAATGCGCGTCGTTTGAAAAAAAAATGGTCACAACTGCGGCGGTCGTAAGTCCCAACGGTCGTAAGTCCAAGCAGTCGTAAGTCGGGGACTACCTGTACAGAGATAGTGAAGAAAATAGATTAAGCGAGATAGTAGTGACTAGTAACGATGTTAGTAAGCAAGTAGACAAGCTAAAATCTAAAAAGTCACCAGGTCCTGATGAGATATTTGCCAGAGTATTAAAGGAATGTAAGGAAGAGCTTAGTATGCCCCCTAGCAATTTTTTTTTACATGTCATTAAAAATGGGTGTAGTACCAGAATCCTGGAGCAGTGAATGTGATACTGATTTTCAAGAAGGGAGATAGATCACTATCCTCTACCCACTGTCCAATCAGTTTAACATCAATTGTAAGCAAATTTCTGGAAGCAATAATTTCAAACCCTATTCGAAATCACCTGGAAAAGCACAAGTTATGAATGTGAATCGTGGTTTATTGCTCAAGTTCTAATAAAAAATGCATAAAAACGTCGTTCATACTGATTGAACCCTCGGTATTCACTCATTCACACTTCATATTTCTGTGAACCAAAAGAGACGTAAAACAAATCTCAAACTCATTCCTGAACCTCTAGTCAGCTACTTGTTTGAAGTGTGCAAGGTGGGCCGAGTTAGTAATGTGTGGGCCTAGTTGGTTATTGAACATAGGCCGAGTTGATTAGCTAAGACGGGCAAAGTTGGAAATGGGCCGAGTTGGAGGTACACCCTTCAAAATGCCCATGATATTAGTCAGATTTAAAACAAATTTCATGGGGGCTTACAGCCCCTCCCCGAAACTGAGGAGCTGAGTGGGCTTGCTGTGCTCACCATGTTAACCCCCCCCCCACCCCCACCCCTTGAGATTCCTGGATCCACCCCTGTCGTGTATGTTGTTAATTACAGTATCTCCGTTAAGGATGTGCTCAGAATTACATTAAACTAATTACCGGTACATTAAACTAAAGAATACCTTGCATCATGAAAAACATGGGAAGTTTAGAAACCCAGTGTTAAGGCAGCACACTGCACTTTCCTTCAAACGTATTACCTGTTTTGCTGGCTGCTGGCCTGACGGGCCAGCAAGCAGCAGGATTCTGTCTGTTGCGAGAAATGGACAACGGTTTGGCAGCAGCCTTGCTGGCCATGTTAGTGCTCTAATGAGCTTCATATTAGGTGTTGAATATTCAAGTAAAAATTTCAATAAATCATGAAACAATAGTAATTTTAAATATAACACAAAAACAGTGACATGTTTCTATTTATTTGTCACTTTAAACGTTCTTGGGTATTATTAAATCATTATTCAGGGTCTTCTTTGACCAACCAGCTGCAGCCACTTGTAAACAAACTTCACGGCGCATTCCTTGTCTTTTCTTTAGCTTTTGCAGATGCCTCACTTGCTTCAGCAATTAAAGAACTATAGCACATTCATGCAAGGCCTCAACTTTGTCTAGTCGCTTTGTTGCTGTTTTCATTACGTTGGGCAGATGCGCCAACAAAACATCCTAGTGTGACGCAAACGTATCTTTGTTTTGGTGGCTGGACCGTGTTTGCCAAATATGTTGGGAGGAAAGTGCCCAGTGTGCTGTTGCCGTTAATCTGAACACAGATCTATAGTTTAAGTCTCTTCCTGAACCAAAAAGGGAAGGAATATAATGAATCTATATGTTTAAATGAATAAATTGGTAATGATTGAGCCACATCCTAAAAATGGAATGTTTATCACTAAACCCAACAAATTGAGGAATGAGCCATGTGAAGTAATTTTGTAATGCCCAGGGTAAAAATTAATCAACAAATATCTCTAGATAATCCACAGTCCTTGGCTGCTACTTGATATTGTTCATCTTGCCATCTAATGTACTGTACTACAGTTTGTATGGTTGGATATATTCCAAATCATTTATATAACTGACAGAACTCGATATAAATACAAGCAGTCTGGTAGGGAGTAAAATGCTTTATGTTTTTGTTATCATTTGTTTCTGTTTGCTTTATGTTTGGTACAAAACAAAGAAATAATGAAAAGGCTTCATTGAAAAACAAATTTTCGGCCTTTTGTGATAAAAAAAAAATTCTAACATCCTCTCAATTGCCTATGCCTTAAAATCATTTGAATTTTGATATTCCAGACATTGAAGACTATTTTAGAGAATAACAGGTCTGCTTACCAATTGTGAACATATTTAGTGTGAATAAATGAACATCTACACAAACATTTTCTTTAAACCAATCAGCTATTTTTTTGAAGAGGGGCATTGCTAATGGGCCAGGTTAGCATGGAAATACTATAGTCCAGAATATTCTAAAACAAAAAATGGCTCGGAATCCATGTGTCTTTTCCAAACACTTCAGACACTTCTGCCTCCCATGTTTTGTAATACCTTTTAAGTCAATGACATCCTCATTTTTTGCTTCATCTGATGAACCTTCATCACTGACAGTTTTTAATTTTGAGAATATATTTGTCTTCAATTGAGTCATGGCATACCCCCTTGGAAAAGCAAAATCACCGTTTGGCTGTGAATGGATTAGTTTTGCCATCTATCCGATAACTAATCTTCAGTCAATTTGATGGTGGTTTGGAGGATACAACCATACACGCAAACTTCAGAGGATATGGAAAGGGAAAATGATGATAGAGAGATAATCAGGCTTATAACTCATCGAACAATGACAACAAATACAGTACTGCAGTGAAAAAGCATGAAGCACATGACCTCTACATGTGGTAAAAACAAAATAAAATTTCATGGCTAATGAATATTATTGCAATACTGTACTATACTTTGACCAATGTATTAGAGATATCTTGGCAAAAAAAAAAAAAAAGAGATATTCCACTCTGGAAGAGAAGAACATGAAAGGATAGGCTGTAGGTAAGATTGAGGTAGATATGCAATGCTGAATTTGACTTACTGTACTTATTTATTTCCCCCTCATGCCCTCACTGTACTGTACCAACCTTGCACCCCCTAGTTTGGAAACTACTGTCGTAACCATTCAAAGCACACTTTTTTTTTCTAAGCACTGATCGGCATACACCTTCCCATACTGTTAAACCCCGAAAAATATTCTCACTGCTAGACTGGTCCACTAAACCTGCTCTACAAATACAGAACAAAAAAGCTCTGTACAGTATTTCAAGTGCAGTAGCTATTTGGTGTGTGGAGCTTTCAGTGTTTGTTTGAAATACTGGTACAGTCGATGCATAAAAAGATATGTTTTGGTTGTAAAGCATACTGTATATATCCTCGCCGTTACACAATCAGGTCTCATGCTATCCGAGTCTAACCTCCCTGAACTGCCCTTTACTTCCACACTGCCATCTGTGTCAGTGGCACACCATTAGCCTGCTTTGCCTCATCATTACAATCTGTGTATGATTCCCAAATTTTAACTTTCCATACACTGATATAAATGTGTTACACAGATGCCTTGTCCATGGGGAAAGGAAAGGCACAATTGGTATTTGGTTAATGGTTGGCATATTATGTCATTTGTGGTACACTACTCTTGTTTTGAATAAGATTTAAACATATACAGTACTGTATTTAGCTAATATAATTTTCAGCTGAGTCGTGTGGCTGCTATGCGACACGAGCGTCATCGACAGTGGATCACAGGAGAACGGTCTAGTGAAAACCACTATGCTCCTGCTGCTAGAACTGACTCGTATTAAACATGTGTTATGTAGAAGATGTCTCCATTATATTTCAATCTCGGTAAAAGTCGCAGATTTAAATTTCATATCAGTTAGGGACATGATGATTTAAAACACTAGTTTTATGTAAATAGAGAGATGATTATTATTTTCATGTCCTTTGTAATGTCTGCAAATCCATCATTTACTTCATAAATACAGTCTGCTCAACACTCCTGGTGTCATTAATTAAGGAATGGCTGTTACTAAACTGCACTTCAGTTGTGAGTATTGGAATTAACACCATCCTACCTGATCTTTTGTGCTGGATGTATATATATTGGAGTTATTAATAAAAAGAAAATAAATTAGAAGTGCATTTTTATAACCTTATATTTTAGGTCAAATGACTTTATTTATTGTACTGTAGTTCATTAAATATATAGATCCAAACTTTTGGCCCTAATTTGTATGCCCAAGATATAAAAATCAAATTACCGGTAATATGAAAACTAAACTACAGGATTATTGGGACCAAAATTCAACTGGTTTCCTGGGTTTGAGATTTGGTAAACTTTCTTCCCTTGGGTGTTCCATCTATTACCCAAGGCCTATCAGTAGGTTATGTCAGGTTTTGCTTATGCACACAAACAAAATTGGAAATTGCTTTTATTTCTTAACACACACACACCGTGATGCATCTAGGCGTCGATGATAATCTCGTCCAATTAGCACTGACACCCCAAAGCATCATTCAAGAGATAAAAATTCATGAAAAATGAGTAACTCCAATTGACGCTCGAGATTTTGGCATGTTATTCTGGTAGGCCTCCTCTCGTGGTAATCCATCACTAATTGATTACTTGGCAACAGTACATAGCATGCTGACCATGAGACATCAGTGTTGCCCTGACAGTGAAGCTCAAAGGCTGAGTGAGTGAGCCCTTTAAATTTTATCTTGGTATCTAACCCACACAATATGCTGTCCACTGTGCAGTTATACCCTGTTAAGTATTTAAAAACCATTCATTTATATATTTTTTATGACATTTTACTTACAGTATTCAAATTTGTAACGGTCGTGTGTAAAATACAGTACAGTGAACCCTCACTTTACACTGTCAATTGAACCCACGACGGCCCGCGTAAAGTGAACAACATAACATATGGGATTAATTGAAATAGAGACCGGGCCGACCCCCCAAACTCCACTTTTTCCCGTCACAATACGTACATTTTAGTAAAAATAACATCTTAACTTTATGATGGTATTCACACACACATAATATAGAAGGGAACAATCAATAAGAGAATAATATACTGTAGGTTAGGATAGAAAAAAACAAGGTTGGGGTTAACACTTACGTTAGTAGAAGAGATGGGTCGGCGTAGGGGAATGGAGGCAGAGGGCAGGCTACTGGCCCTCAGGTGAGTCTTCATCGGTGTCATCCACACTTGTTAGTTCCTCCCTGACAAATCCCTCACAGTCACCATCACTGTCTGTCACTATCACTGGCTTGGGCTGGCTGTGGTGGGTTGAGGGCGAAGAACTCGGTAATGCTTTGCTGACGGCTGGTGTTGATGTCGTGATACACCTTGATGTAGTGCTCCATAGTCTGCAACAGCTGGGTAGTGAAGACTTCATACCGGTTATCGTCAGGGTCGTCGGAAACGAGGAACTTGAGTTTCTCAACACACTTGATGGCACCCCTTATATTACTATGCGATAACTTGCGTTCTTCTTGGGATGACGCACCACCTGCCTCTTCACTGACGTCATCATCTAAGATCTCGTCGGCAGTCACATCAGGATCCCTTATCACCTCCAGGATGTTGTCGTTGGTGGTCTCGGAGAAGCCTGCAGCTGTAACACTGCGCAGCTTCTCTGGCAAGGTCCACTGCTTCTGCAACAGTCTGAACCTCACCAGTCACAGATTGACTCTGCCTCCCACCTGGAATACCTTGCAACACATGTCTCCATGCGTGACGAACCGTTGCTACAGACAGCTGATCCCATGCCTCCACCAAGAAGTCCACAGCTTTCTTGACGTTAAATTTCCTCCAAAACTGTTTCACAAGTACTTCTTGCTCTGCCAACTGTTGTTCCTCGTCCTAGTCGCTCTTGCTATCGGTGTCATCCAGGTTACGCAACTCATCCTTGATGTTGGTATAGTCGTTCAGCAGCTTTCACATTACACATCAATTCTCGGTCCATGGGCTGTATTTATGACGTAGTGTTGGGAGGAAGGAAGACCACTTTTACGTTGGGGTGACGATCTAACAGTAGGGGCGAGTGTCCTGGTGCGTTGTCAAGCAGCAACAAAATGTTGAATGGAACATTCTGTTGCTCACAGAATTTCTTCACGTCGGGAATGAAACAGTCATCAAACCAGGAGAGGGACAGAGTAGAGAACATCCATGCTTTACGTGCGGTCAGCCAGTGGACATTTAGCTTGGTCATGTCCATGCTCTTGTAGGCGTGCGGCTTGCATGCTGTGTGGATCACCGATAACTTGAGCTTACAGGTACTGGAGGCATTGGTGGTAAACAGGACAGTGATGCGCTCCTTCTGCAACTTCCGGACCCGACACCTGCTGGCATTCTTCACAACGAAGGTCTTGGAAGGTAGCTTTTTCCAAAAAAGACCAAATTCGTCCATGTTAAACACCTGGTCGTCGGTTTACTGTCCTTCCTCCATAATCTCACGTAAAAACGGAGGAAATTCCCTAGCCGCAACACGGTCAGCACAAGCTTCTTCACCACCAATGTTAATGTTGGTGATCTTGTTCCTCTTCTTAAATCTATGCAACCACCCAGAGGAAGCATTGAAGGGTTTGGGCTCTGCAATTCTTATCTTACGTGACATTGCAGCAAACAGTTCACGTGCGTACTCCTTAACTGAGCGCGTGTCCACCGCCATGTTCCGTTGCACCTGACGAATCAAGTAGCTTACAAGTAATTTCTCCGTCTTGAGAAGCAACTGGTTGTGGCAATACTTGATCATAGAAGCTGGCACGCGAGATCAACCTGTCTTGTTCCTTTCTCCAACTCTTGTATGATCTTATATTTTATTTCGTAGCTTAGGGAACGTCGTATCTTCTTTGGCTTAGGGCGGCTGGGTCCAGGTAATGCAAGGTTTCTTTGTGGTGGTGGTGGTGGTTCGGTGGAAGCCATTCTCAAGGAACAATGGATACCGATATACATGATGTAGCCGGGAGCGGTGTAACTGACGCGGGTAGGTCAAGGGGCTTGAACGCTCCCGCGGCGGGGCTCGTCATAGTACATTAAACCAATCACAGCTAGCGGGGGAAGGAGGTAAGGATGCTTGGCCCAATCACAGTCCGATATGTCATATGACGTCACCGATAACACAACAAAGACATACACTGCGCAACCTACTCGCGCAGCATACCCAACAATGGCGGGAGGTTTGAATCCAAAAATGGCGCTGCTTGAGAGGACCGCCAGCCGCTCCGCGTAAAAGGGTACACGCACCTCGTAAAGTGAGCATTCCGTGTTCGGCAGGGTCCCGTGGAAACGCGTAAAGTGAAACCGCGTAAAGCAGGGTTTTACTGTACTACCCTTCTGTAGATACGATAAACATCTTGAGCTATCTGTAAAGATGGTGAAAGGTGTTGTGAAGTGTTCATATATGAGTAATGTACTGTATTTACTTGTTCAAACTTGTAAGACGTGTGTGTGTGTGTGTGAACTGCTTAATAACTACACTACTGTGGATACGATAAACATCTCGACTCTGTAAAAAGGATGAAGAGAGTTGGGAAGTGTTTTATAAATGTCTAAATGGTTATTTATTAAGTGGGTATTAATTTATTTTATGATATTTCACTTGTTCCAACTTGTAAGCATCATGTGTGTCTTAACTCCATAATAAATTGCCTTCTGTGGATACAATAAATGTCTGAGCATCAACCATCACACCGAAATGTTAAATTGTTTTAAACTATAGTTGTATAATATCAGTAAAGATGTATAAGGGATAAATCTATAATACAGTCAACCCTTGCTTTACGCGGTCCCACTTTACGCATTTCCACGTTTACGCAGTACCCTGCCGAACACGGAATGCTCACTTTCATGTGCGTGTACCCCTTTACGCGGAGAG